TTCGAATTTTTTATTCTTGTGCAGGTAGAAGTGGAAACGAGGTTTGTTCCCAGTTGTATTGGGTTCTTCTGGGGAGATGAGGCACAGCGCGCTGATTCAACTGACAGATTGACATACGAGTAAGAAAGTACAGTAGATAGATATTCCCCTCAAACAGCAAATCCAGTTGATGATGAGGAAACGATTTGTGGAAAGGTTTTCACAGATGAAACGATAGTAAGATTTTGTCTTGATCGTTTAGGATTTTCTAGCAGTAAATTCTCATAATTCAAACTTGATGATTCAGACGATCCACCGTTGCAACTTATGTTGTCCTTTAGCACATTTACGTAGTCCATGTCGAACGGGTTGCTCAGTCGTTCTCTGCGTTGTTCTGAGTCGGATGTTATGGCAGTTACTCCGACTGTGCCTGAAAGAAGAATCAACATTGTGAAAGCAGTCATTGTAAGAACGACTTGATATCCTAATAATGCAGTTTATAGGAAGTGGGCAATAGGTGTTGTTTGAATACTACTACTATCACTATTATGCTGACAGTGAATGCTGGTAATATTGTTTCGCAGAGCAATGGTTTTGTGCAGTAGATTGTTGTGTGCCAGGAAGTTTTGTTCTGTTATGATGCCGATTTTATGGGGCATGGAGAAGACCTTGGAGAAGACTCTTGTGTGAGTATAGGACGAACCAATGGATCCTACATATACTCATTACATGCAGAGATAAATTGATTAATCAATAAAAAACAGGTGCAAGGTCGTGCCAGAAGGATAATAATAATAATAATAATAATAATAATAATAATAATAATAATAATAATAATAATAATAATAATAATAATAATAATAATAATAATAATAATAATAATAATAATAATAATAATAATAATAATAATAATAATAATAATAATAATAATAATAATAATAATAATAATAATAATAATAATAATAATAATAATAATAATAATAATAATAATAATAATAATAATAATAATAATAATAATAATAATAATAATAATAATAATAATAATAATAATAATAATAATAATAATAATAATAATAATAATAATAATAATAATAATAATAATAATAATAATAATAATAATAATAATAATAATAATAATAATAATAATAATAATAATAATAATAATAATAATAATAATAATAATAATAATAATAATAATAATAATAATAATAATAATAATAATAATAATAATAATAATAATAATAATAATAATAATAATAATAATAATAATAATAATAACCGTCCAGATGTACCACTCTTTTGGTGCCTAACTACCATGCCACCCAAAAGAAGCACGAGGGCTGAGATACTGTCAAGTTGGCCAAGCCTAGACAGGGAAAGTCGAAAGGCAGAGATCGAGTTCGAACCACGGACCTTCCGGTCAGTAACTTCGCGTTCTAACCACGGGGCCACCTCGCCCATCTTGTCTAAAGAATGATAAATTGAGAGATACTAGCCAACGAGGAAAGTATCACTGCAACTTTGTCTTAGCACACTGAGGTGAGATTCCCTATAGGGGACAACGCTTCTTGGGGCTGTCAAATCGCTTATTGCTTAAAGTCGTTTTGATGAAGAATATTTTGAACTAGGTAGAAAATATAATCGTGAGGATTGTGTGCTCATCATCACCAGCTACCTCATTGATAATTTTGAAAACGGATTTCCTAATTCCATCTAAGTTAAGGACACCTACAATTTGACGCGGCTGGTAAAACAGCTATCGTTGAAAATCCTTTCCCGACACAACAGTACCAGCACAACAGTCTGCACGTTTCGGGGCCTTGAATAGTACATACATAAGTAACGTACATACCATAGATAGGTTACAGATGTATGACTGGAGTATAAATCCCTCATTTTGGCAGGTTCCTTTACAGCTGCGGATTCCCGGCAGCTCTCCCAATGGAAAATGTGTGGTCTACCGGATTACAGTTAATGCAGTATAACAATGTAATGTGAGGGGAATTTGTCATCTCCAGGTCTTTCTATATATTTAAGCTTAAAACTTTGAATGTCAGTCACCTCTGAAGTGAATTCAAAGTTGGGGTTAATCTAAGACTGGTATTGCCTATGACGAAACCTGATGAGGACCCACATGAACCTTACTTCAAAATTCATTTTAGTTGGGGCTCTTCTAAAATTTGCAAAATATTCCTATCAAGAAGGTCAGATTCGTGAAAGCAACCTTAGAACACCCGGAACCTACTGCTCCACCAAAAACTCAACAGGAAAGCCGGCAAGCCTCCAGGCCAGTCAATCATTCAATCAATTCAACAAAACCTAATGAGTGTTCTTGCACGCCACAGAAGCACGACCGAATGTGATCAGCATCCAGGCTTTTCATAAAGGCACGATCGATGTTGACGGGTGTTCGTTAACGCCTATCAAACAGCCTGGATCATTGTCAGAAAGTCCCCTTTAAATAGTGCGGGGCCATTGTTACTTTTGCTCTCGAACTCGCACGCACTCACGCTCTTGCACTCGTTTGTTCGGAGTCTTTTTTCTCCGGCATTAGGCACTGGAGCGGGACAGCAGCAGATACCACAGATCGACGAATCAGCAGGTATGACAATTCACAATTCCGATAGCTTTCCTCTCTACGAGTTGGCATATTTTGTCCGGACCGTATCTTGTTTGTAGGCTTAAACACTGTTGGGTGATCACTATGCAGAGTAGACTGAATACGCCGTAGTCACTGATAAAGTCCACAAATATTACCAGGATTCCCTAAAAAACCTAAATATGCTTCCGCATCTTTAACAACAATCGTGAGATTTAGCACCAGCAATTATTCTTCATTTATTGCTGCTAATATTGTGTTATGATCAAAAACTCAAGTGGATCTGACTGCATTGGAGAGGAAAAAACAGTATATTTTCAATTGTGACCAATGTACACGACTTTGAGGTGGTTTTGAACAGGTTCCTACCAGGGTGGCCGTAATACATAGGAAGCACAATAGCTTGATGTCAGCCAAAACCGAACAAGTGAGCGCATGTGGGAGGGACTGTTTTTTTCTCTTCAAAAATGGGGCCTTAATGTGGTTTAGTCATAACATGTGCAGCGTCGACAACAGCCACCGGATGAGGTCATACTTTCAAAAAGCTTTCTTGATAAACAGTTGGAACATGTATGCATACACACATGCACAATTCCGACCACCCTGCGGAAAGCAACTCACCTCATTTCTCAATTAGCACACTCGTGCGGACTTAACGACTGATTGATTATGCGTCAGTGGTCGACAGTGTAGCACAGTTCCACTTGTCCAGAATGTGAAAACGTTGGAAAGCAAATCTGCCTACACACTCTGAAGCCTAAGTTGTGGGTGTCATCAGGCAGCTGTATATCATTTTTCGGTGGTGGTAATTTAGCGGTTATCTACCGTCTTTCACATTAATCCGTGACCAGTGTGACTGACCAAGTAACAACAAGGTGTTGTGTTCGTGTGCCATGATAGAAGTTAATTAGAACTCATTCGAAGTGGATGTGGACCTCCTTTGAGAATTGATGAAATGTTGCATCCGACAAGTTGCGCTTAGATTGACGACCAAAAGTTTGTGCTCGGCGGAAAGCTCAACTTCACCTTTCAAAACATGCGAGATTCGAAAGTTTGTTTCTACAAACCGGTTTAATGAGTTCATTTGTAGCTGTGCCGTAAAGCCTGACGAGAATCATGGCGAAACTTTGGGCAGCTCGTGACATTATTATCAGCTTACATGTTGTACCCTTGAGTAGGAACTCAAGGCCGGAAACACATTCCATCGCATTAGAGGCCATAGTTTTGCACCTCATAGTACACTCTCTCTGAACAGGTACGAAGGCATTTACCAGTCAGCTAGAGGTGGCTAATCAGCAGTCAGTAACTTGTTCTTATACTACTCACAAGGTTGCCGAAAACTTTTCGGTAACTTACTGACAGGGTTCGCCCTTATTGGGGCTCTACAGGTAGAATACGAGTTTACTTCCCGCCAAAAATGAACCCGAAATGGATGGAATGCTGTAGGATTCCATTTGCATTAGATCTTTACAGTAGACTCAACTGAATCCAGCCGGATCTCTTGTTTATAGTTGTCTTCAACTGAACGTGCTGGCTCATGTTCCATGTGGTACGATATTCAAGTTCACGCAATGTATTCAGCTTAAGAAGGCAGTATAAAGGAGGGACTCGGCTGGGTCCCGTCTGGTCTCCCGTCGAAACTAAATTCACCTACAAACGAAAGTAATTCCTCTCAAACATTTGGATTTTGTAATTCACCCCACATGGCCTGGTGTAGACAGACCACTGGAGCACTACAAAACTTAAAGTGAGTCTCCCTTTTGCAAAAGTGTTTTTATGTTCTGTTCAACTGCAAATAATCATACCGCTGAGGAGCCATCGGTGTCTGAGTGGCAGTGTTGCTGGTTACAATCAAATGGGAGATTCATGAGAAGCGTACTTTCTATGTTTCTTAACAAGGTGTATCGTGCCTCTCGACCTTTCAGCACATGTTGAATTGGCTTGGTTTGTAAATCCAAGATATTCTCACTGAATGCACTATTTTCCACGGTTTTTGTATGCATCTAAAAATTTCTGATTGACATTGACCACCCAGAACAACTAGCTTCCTGAAGTCCTTCAGTTCGTAATCATCCTTCATCTCAAGGTAAGTCCATTTCGCATACAGTTTATTCTTTATTCAGAACAGACTCAATTCAATTTTGTCCCTTACGTTACTCCTGCATATTCATCCTACTTTCAATCTAAAGAATGCTACTCATGGTAACGAGTATCGCCTGTGACTTACCCTGATGCTGTGCGCCAGTGGCAAATGTTTCATTTGAAGGGTAAAACAGGACTTGAGTAGGTTTTTCTCGATATCCAGTAAGCTGGTGTTTATTTGAAGTACAGAGATCCGAAATCTTCGTCTCACTCGGGTATTGTATCAGATTGTTGTTTTTTCGAGGATAAATGTGCGGAATATGTTTGAGTGTTCGCTTACAGGCAGGTGGTTCGTCACAGTATGCACCGAACAACAAATCGTGATCGCTGACTGACGAGTTTCCCAAACACGCCGAAGGTTTTTCAGTTTCTGATTTCTTATCCACTTCTGTGAATACTTTGGCGTTTCCGAATGGAGAGTGGCTCGCACATTCTGACCTGCTGGGGCTGTTCGATTTTATACTCGCCTCCATCGACAGCTCTGAGTCTCCGTTTACAGTGGACAATTGTGTGATTACATCACGTTCGCTGGTACCAGACTCCAATCCTTGTATACGCTTTGCTTTCGCCCGGCGATTTTGAAACCATATTTTTACCTGGGTTTCTGTCAACGTCAGACTGTTCGAGAATTCCGCACGCTCTATGTTTCAAAAATAAAGCAGAACAGCTCAAATATTCAGTGGTGTAATACAAAGCATGTTGAGGTAGGTAACCCATGAGACTGGTGTCTGTGTACTCCAATGAGTATTATAGCTGTCCACCGCATTGACACGATGATAACTGGGTGAGGTTAGACCCGTTGGCGCGAATTTCTTTCTGACCTAGCACTAGACAGAACTTAGTTATCGGTAGCTGGACCAACCAGCGAATCGACGATTAGTCGCTACATGACATCCTATGATCGCTCCAGACTGGATGTTTACGTGTGTTGTCAATCTTGGCGAAAGTGACTTCTGTACAGCTAACAGTATACACCACGGAAATACAGCTAGGCAATGTGCCTCGATTACTACGTACTGGAGTGACTTTGGGGCCCGCTGTGGCTCACGTAAGTGTTCTTAGTTTTATGTATGAATTCGAATATAGCTCCAAATAGCTCAGCATCTCGGCTGCCCCTGCCTAAGGTTGGGCAACCTGGTAGTATCTCATCCCTTGTGTTTCCCTTGGGTAACATGACAGCTAGGCACCAGAAGGGTGTCACAACTAAACGATTATTAGTTATTTATTTTATTCTCCAACCCGGAAGAAGTTTGACCCTGAGATAAAGGAATAAGCCATTGAATAAAGAAGAACAACTGCGAATCGACATACAGTATTGTGTTACACTCCCGCTTCCCAGTTAACGATATTGTTCATACCTGATGGAAATTTTGACAGGCCATCACCATGGTAGTCTGTTGTAGTTATATACCTTGATGAAAATTACCTTATACATCATTCTCATTCTTCGTTCTGTGCTCTATTTTGCGGCTCTTCTGCTTTATTGTACCGAGGATCATTACTAAGCCACCTTCAAGACCCTTTAAGTTTGGGAACACAACAAGAGTTATTTGCAGGGCTCCCGGTTTACCGTAAGAAATTTTGAAGCGATGGTGCAAGTGACACAGCTCTGGTTGTATTTGCGTTCAGAAGTTCAAGGTACTTCCTGCGGAGGCTGTTCCCTGTGAGTATTGTTCATGTTTTCGGTTGCCAGTGTTATCGACTTTCTGCTTATTTCGCCCGGAAACGCTCGGCGACCTTGGAATCGAGTAATCATTGTGTACACGGCACGGAAACGTTCGGTTTTAACACAGTAGGGAATCAGGAATTCACCCAATCTGGATGTTTCAGAGTTGGAGGTTATTATCCTATACAGCCATCTACAAAGGGCAAATACGACCACTAAGCAATTTGACGACCAGTTCCCAAAGCAAACAGAAGGAGCAGTTTTNTCGACTTTCTGCTTATTTCGCCCGAAAACGCTCGGCGACCTTGGAATCGAGTAATTATTGGTGTACACGGACGGAAACGTTCGGTTTCAACACAGTAGGGAATCAGGAATTCACCCAGTCTGGATATTTCAGAGTTGGGGGTTATTATCCTATACAGCCATCTACAAAGGGCAAATACGACCACTAAGCAATTTGACGACCAGTTCCCAAAGCAAACAGAAGGAGCAGTTTTGAGGTGAAAAGCTCTACTTTAATAGGGTATAATATCACTCTAAGCAACACTGATAGATTATTTCAATCTCATTTTCTCGGGTCGGAATTCAGCTTTCGCTCAACGAATGACGTTATTTCTCAGCTGCGCCTATTGAGTAGAACAGTTACCTTGAACAATCAGACATTTTAAAGAGGGTCACGGAAGAAACATGCGACTGAGAACTGGCTAGTGCATTCTCTGCTATCTGACCTTCCATGCCTGACTCAGAAACCATCAAAACTAAGGTATCGTGTTGACGTGTGACTTGGCTACCGAGCGAGTCCAAGTATCCAAGTCAGTCGAGCTAATTTAAATGCATTAAATGAGATGAAGCAGGAGACCCTTTAGCATCCCTTCATCAGTTCGATAAGCATAAATTAAATACTGTAAGCAATCCATATTCTGCACGTTAGCGCCATTGTGGTTATCACAACCAGCCACGACCGCTTGTTGCACAACGTTCTATGCCATGACAGATTGTCACTACGGTCAAACTAATTACATGCCTTTTAATTATGCCTCTCATCTTCATGTCTGTTCATGATTAAACATCATTATGCGGGATCACTTCTGCCTTGCATATGAGGTCGTGTGACGTTTGGCTATCATAGGATGTGCCTAATCACTCTTGTTATATTCTAGCGGTCATAGTCGTTAACTTCTTTCGTGAGTCCTATAACACACTCACAGTCACACAGGTTGCGTAATCTGTCCTCCCAGCTGATTGCGATCAACCACGGGTTACCACGGCAACGTGAATGATATGTTCTGACAAGCGAACCCATGTAATTTTCATCCGTGTGTATATGATCGGCAGATTAGCCTAACATAGTAACTAATGTTCCTCACAAATGGGTCTTTTCAGGTCACATGCTGAGTAACACGGAACTAACATGTCATACAATGGTGAAGCAGTCAGACCTCCAGATGACGACCCAACACAGATTCCCAAAGTAAATTCGAGCGGCAGGTTGAACAATTAGGGACATACACGTGTCATATTCCTTATCCTAGCTTGCGCGGTCAAAGGAGGATGAATCCTTATTGTGAAAGTACAGTGCAACCGCATAACAGGGCGTGTCCCGTAAGATAACTTCTGTAGAGGATGTTGGAAACCTACCTGTATTGTTGTGTTAAGGCTAATCCCAACACAGAAAGAATGTCTTTTTAACACCACAATGGCCAGACTAAGTGGACCACACTAAGAGGAAAGTTCACTTTTGACTGATTTTACTGTGGTTAACATTACAATTATGAAGACAGTTTGGGGCTCTGGAAGAAACAGATGACATCAGCATTCGACTTATCATTCACATACAAACTATTGCAAATAACCGGCCAAGATATCGGTTTTTCACAAAGTTAGGTAGAAAGATACCAGCAATTAGAGACATCTAAGTGCACGTTCACAACTGCAAATGATCTAGCGGTCACTCACAACAACACTCACAACAACACGAACTTCAATATTTTAAAGCTTCGAAGACGTACAACTTAACAAATCAACGTCTTTGGTGAATTAAACAGAGAGGTACTACTGGGATCATGTGGGTGGATTCGGAAAATCTCAGCCGCACAGTAACTTCGTCTTACTGAGAGGGAGGGATAATCGTCCATGTGAATCACGTGTTGCTTAGACTGTTTTTCCGAATGTGTATTGTCCTTTCTGCGGAGGTCACCTACTAAGGAGCTTCATGGTATACATTTTTTCCTCTCGTTTCTTGAAGTTTGGCATCAACCATGCAAATTCTGAGGCCGTCTGGTCCGTAGGTCTGGGCACATGGTGAAGTCGCACATACAAAGCCTCAAGATGCTAGGTGAAAATGAATTGCACTCAGCCATCTTGGCCCAACTTGCTTTGTCTTTTATGGCTCCCTCATGTAGCCGGTTAAACAAAAAGTTTTTAACATGCTAGGAAACAGCTGCAGAAACTGTCTAAACCGAATTATGGTGTGACGATCACGATCAAATGATGATATCCTTTTGCGTATACAGTTGATTTGTCTGTGTCACACTTTGGTGTTATCGATAGATACTTCACAACTGGCTCTCGTGCTTTAAAATCGGTTTTGTTTATGGCGCCGTATAGGAACTTGTTCCAGTCTGCCGCAGCAGGCTGCAACAATTCGAGTGGCCTGTTCATGATCGTTATCACAGCTGACACACCGGAAACCCAAGCTTTTTGTGTGATCTTTCCAGCCGACCACCTCTTCAGCAATTCGGATCAAACGGCTCATCAATCATACTTGCGAGTGTTCATGTCACTGTGTTGTGTTCGTGGCAAGCAAAACTTATCGTGCCCGTTTTGTTGCTTCATGATGACGGATGAACAAGTTTCAGCCACCCGTAGGTTGACGGGGGGCGTAGCACCATCAGCAATGCTGGAGATGGAGCAGTTAGGCTCCAAAAGGTACACATGAAGCCCTCAAAATCTGGTTCATCATGTCGGATGACAGGCCTGCTTTCGTTTTTTCCCAAGCGCACATAATCGCAGGGAGGTTAGTTCAGGAGTGTCGTTAGTCACTTTCAATGATAGCAACTAATTATATAGTTCCGCGCTTTGGGAGTTTCCTGGTGGTCTTCCCTCAGCGTGCCAACTTATGATTTGCTGTCATGATAGCCGTTAGTTTTGGCTAGAAACACGAGTAGGCTAAATGATTAACAAGGTCATGTTAGCGTTAACCTGGAAGTGAATTTCATTCCCTATGGGCTTGAATATTATAACTATAAAAATGACGCAGAACTGTTCCCCTCCGTTATTGAGACAAAACGATTTTGATGGGGCTGTGGCTCACAATCTCACAATTAACCTTCGCCTATGATCTAACTTTTCTGAAGTTCAAAATACCCTGGGTCAAACGGAACTTTGAAACAGACCACAAGTACTACTCACCTGCAATCGATAGGTACTGTTTCTGTCTGAATTTCCTCTCCAATGCCATAAGTTGATGCGTTGTGAAAGGCGTTCGAGGCTTCCGATTTGGTTTGTGCTTTCTTAGTGTGCATTTGGATGGTCCAAGTTGATCTATGGGAAGGAAGGTTTTCGAAAGACACAGTCACTTAACGTATACTGAGCGAACAGAGTCACACTCAACCATCCAAAGTGTTGTTAGCCCAATTAGTGATAGAAAAGTGCAACTTTTATTGGGAAAGCAATGACAGCGAAGTGAAAAGAAACTGTGTGATTTCTGGATTGTCAAGATCGTGATTCTGACGGTTTTTTGGGTATCGGTTAACTAGGTAGATGACATATAATGTGTAGAGTCGAATGCCGGTAGTCTCTGCTTATCCGGTGTAAAAGTGACTGTTGAATTCGGGGGCAGGTCTCTTCGAAGAACCAAAATACTGAGACTCCTCACTTTTTAATCAACTTTTCGCCGCCACCACTGATACAGAAAAGATTGGCACTTGGTCGGTCGTGATTATTGACCTAAACACATCTGAGGAAATCACAAAAGCGATAATCAGTAATGGAGATGTCGCTGGCTTGGCGTTTCAGTCAATTCACATCACCGTACACGCGAAATGTCACAAACAGCTGACTAATGTTTTTTACTCGCTTTATATGTCGGGGCTTAAGTCAGAGGGTTGATGAACAAGTTTAGCTCTGTCTTTCCATGCGTTGTGGCATCGATGCTAACCTGAGTATTGGAGCACTTGTCAGAACAAGTATGAAGTTGAACGCCAAGATCTCGACCCCCATTTCTTCCATTTGTTAGTGCATGCGTTGTGCATCGATGCTAACCTGAGTATTGGAGCACTTGTCAGAACAAGTATGAAGTTGAACGCCAAGATCTCGACCCCCATTTCTTCCATTTGTTAGTGCCTCGGACGTCTCGCTTCCATTCATTAAGTGCTATCATCGGTTATCGATCGTAAAACCGAAGGCAAAGGCTTTGACAAGCCTTTCAATAGTTCTTTTTGGATGAAACGATGAAATAAGTCTAGGAGTCAGAGGTGTCGAACGTAGCTCCGTCCTTTGGATTGTTGTGCTGAGATTTACCATCTAAACGTCTAAAAATTCTTCTTTATAACCATGTCACATTCACGTGACATATATGTGTGTACTTCACCGAGTCTCAAAATAACTAGCAGTACATAATGAATCTAAACAAATAGGGGATAGTTTGTTCCTTGTGGTTTTGAGGCCGATTCGGAGGACATGTTGGAACGGGCTGATCGCACTGGAAGGGTGACAGGATTTTAGCTTATCAAATTTCCCCATTGCTGAGCTATTCTAAATAGCACGGATTACAAACCAGGTGGTTCTTTTTCAGTGGAATAAACTCTGAGGTCGCTTTTTAAATTTTAACCTAATTATTTGTTTGAATATATAACTGCTATTCAGGTCATTCGAAAGTGGTGTTCTACTTGTCTGGCTGACAGTTCTCCCACCATACTTTCTTTTCCGGCATACTTCTTCACCGTCAGTAACCTGCAAATCAACCGAAACCGACTTCTAACCTGAGTTCCCTAACCGTATTTCGATTGGATACAAGGTGTTTCTTGTGCATTTCAGCTAGCTTATTTCGAAATACATTATTTCGAAATAAATTCAGAAATGGTGACAGCACAATAGCTCCATTACCATTTTTGTGCTCTTCTTTTCCTTGCCACAAAAAGCGCAAAAGTGTGGCAACGCACACAGCGGACGGTCTGGGTAGGTCTGAAAACTGAAATGACATGCAGGTTCCCCTCGGGTTGTTCGAAATATATGATATGGCGGGACATACAGTTGTTGTCTGAAGATATCACCTGATGAGAACAGAAGTTATTCGCGAAACACACTACTCATCTGATTTGATTCTAACGAGGGACTCAGCTGAATCCCAACTGAATCTCTCATTTGCAATATTGTTCTTCTTTACATGCTGCACAAAGACCGCATCGTGTTTCAGTTCGTATGGTATTCGAGAGGTCGCGGTATAATTTCTTGAATTAAAAAGCGATAAGTGGCGATTAAGCTCAGCTCAAACCACTTGTTCATTATATTTGATAACGTTTGGTCGACATCTGTTTCGCGCCGAAAAGGTCTGCATTATGTGTAGTGATAGAATCGAAAGAAAACCAAAGCATATGTTAGAGATCGCTGTCAGGTACGGCGCATAGCTCAAGATGAAAAATGTATCGAAAAGTAAGTGTCGACTCAAGTTCTCAGCGGAAAATAGTTCATTCCAGATGTTAATGAGAACAGCAAACGGTGATCTTAGGTTAAAGAAATACATGAAGCCTTGTGCAACTCAGCATTTATCATGGAATGTCGATGATGCGTCCTCTTGATCGTTCTAGTCAGTTAACCATGTGACCAGTCGGTATGTGTGTGTGTGTGTGTGTAGAAGGGGGTATTTAATTTTGCTGACATCAGTCGGCTGCCCCACTCCAGCCGTCAGCAGATAATAGATATATCTGAATCCTCCTGTTAGGCTTCTTCGGTCAGCATGGCTTAGTCCGTTTACTTGGTGTGTGTGTAACCATGTGACAGGCGGTATGTGTGTGTGTGTGTGTAGAAGGGGGTATTTAATTTTGCTGACATCAGTCGGCTGCCCCACTCCAGCCGTCAGCAGATAACTTGATTGAATATGCACCATTGATCGTTACGCTGCTTTGGTCACATGATGAACACCATGCAAAACTTTGTCATTTGTTACTACGCATGGTTCGCGCCCTGGTTGTTCTGAGTTCTCTTTCCCCGGTAGCTGATAAGTTCGGCATTCAGTAGCATACTAGTCATTCAAACTGTCCAGGGTCTTAACAAAACATACAACAGGTGACCAGGACACGTTTTTTTAACCCCGTTGGATTCTGGCCTCGTTTTTGGGCGGAAACTCCAAATGTAATATCACGAAGTTACAGAGGCGTTAGATGCTTCCGAATAGTGGTTCTTATTAACCGGAATTTTATACATACGTACATTCCGGTACGCTAATGAAAGCGACTGAATGGCTAGGAACAGGCACGATGCATCATAAGTCAGGAGTAAATCTGATCACGTGCTAGGCATGTCGTGAATCACCGGTAAATATCTCGCACGGCTTTGGGTTTCTTTACTGTTAGATTCCACTAAAAGTCTCTACGCCCTAGAAGGCAGACACATTCACCAGCTTTACAGTAAGAGGCAAATAAAATTCATCACAATATCTGTCTTAAATGTGCCCAAAAATGAGATCTGCTTTGTTCTACATGTGTTTATCCTTCTGATATCGGTATGGACATCTGCAAGCCGTAAGATTTCATACTGGATCGTCTCCCCTGTGCGGAAAAGTGATCCCTGATCAGCTCAAATTGAGTTTGACTCTTGGCAAAGCTATTATCCACCAGAATAAGCATGTGTTATTATTTCTGAAATGCAATACAAACATTAGTAAACATTGGTACAAAATGTGTTCCCCTCTAAGAAGTTAACCCATATGATTGTGAGGATAACTCACAAAATAAAGAATAAATTTCACTTCGAGCGGTCAGCTTATGGCGCCTCCCGACAAACAGTCATCGACTGGTTCCATTCTGCTTTAACTGAAGTCACAACAGAACAGCCATTTTTCCGTATTCAACTGGGTTGAACCGAGTGATGTAAGTACCGGTTGTACCAATCACTCGCAGAATTTTACTGTGAGCAATTTGTGAGCTTGTTTTGTGCAGGACAATGCTATTTTGACTGCTTGTATTAGCTTAAATCCATTAAAGTAACTGCTATAAGTTTTTGCCAGATGGTATGCAACAAGGAGTTTTGAAAAATAGTTTTTTTAACCATATCACGATCATCATTCCACCCTTGTAAGCTGACAAATTCAGTTTTCCAACGTGAATGAGGGCACAGTAATGTGTTTTTGTAAAACCGGCATGGAGAGAAATAGAAAAAGGAGGGATATAATTTCCACTTAGACTCATCAGATCACTGTTTTCCCAAGGAGAGATCCAAGTGATCTGAACGAGGGTGATGAATGGGTCGGTAACTCACCGTATTTTGCTGTGTGAGTAAACCAGTTGTTAATCGCGAAGTGACTTGTATGTTCCGGCGTGGAGAGGTTTGGAGATCCGTGATTCACATGATCATTTGTAAAGTCTTGATTGATGGAAAAATGCACTGGTGGTTTGCCGAACAGGGCAGCCATAACATCCAACCTGTTCTGCAACATACTAGTCCAGTTTTCCAGGCACGGACTGTGAAGCATTTCCCCACATAACGCTACGAGTTTATCGTCTTTGACCGAAGTTTGTAACACTTCCTCACGGCTCGTTTGCAAACTCGGTGTTTGTGTGGGTAACTCGACATCAGATAACCGGCGTAGTCCCCTGGAGGTATGCACTACGTTGTCCTTGTCGGAACTCTCAAGGAGCGATTCGATTGAGAAAAGAAGGGAGGTTTTCTCCTGCCGTTCACTCATTTTCGGGTGAAACCACCTTTTTCTGGTCGAACACGGTTATAGCACAGTGTTGAGCAATTGGGTCTAATTTAACGGTGACATGAAACAGCTGGTCAGAACTCATCGCGCGCCGCGTTTCCATCATGATTGCGCACAGTACACCAATAAGAGCGCAGCGTAGGATGTGAATTTCACTCCTCCCCCATCCCTCCATTTTTCGACTTGTGCGTCAGTCAACAACACAACTTCACGGCCACCCAAACTCTGTGTGTGCGTGATTGGAGGATACTGATTACGGTACGAATGGAAACAACATAACAGGACGACGAATGTGCGCCTCAATGCCGGAGTTTGGTACGCAGGACGTGATTTACGGCTTCACTCGAAGTTAGTTGACTGGCGACTCCCCTATCGCAAGGTCGTACTATCAAGAACAAGAACGGGGATACTGCGGTCGTCCAAGCCGCTCGAGCACACAATTAGGCAGGGTGACATTCATCATATCCCGAGTAGATATTTACTAGCACTCCAAACGAGCGCATGCGTTCGTAGCAGTCGGTTTGCGGGAGGCGAAATTCATACGTTGCCATTTGTACTAATGGGGTATTAAGTGGGTCCGTTGTCACACTGACCATCAACCAGTGTAGTACAATTCGTGTAG